GTAATTATAATTTTAAAGAAAACATTCCACTCAAGAATTAATCGCAATTAGTCCGGCCTGAGCACGTAAGATAATTATGGACTTTCTTTCGAAGACTCATGTTGACCTTGTGCCGTAGTGCTGAAATCGAGTTATCAAGATTAAGTGACTAATCGCATGCGTAGATTTGAAGTTTGAAGCCATTATTTGGCTCATGATACAAGCGAAACAGCAGGCATTGAACGAATGCCCGTCAATCATTGCAATGATTGTCACTTTTATGACTTTTAATTTAAGATGACACTGTATAAAATATTAACAGTTTTTGTTTGAAAATATCAAGTGGAACCCTTCCACTCCTCTGCACCTATTTACAGGGCAGAGAGCAATTAAGAAAAGGTCATGGTGTTTTTTTGCCGTGTCTTCAAATCATTAGATTTGGGATTTTCCTTAGCAAACAGGAGGACTTGACAGATGTTATTTCCAAACATGTATTGTTTAATCATAGCTTGGTTAGCATTTTCTTATATGGACGACGACTTTCTTGGGCTCGCTTCAAGTCTCGAACGCAATCATAATGGCTGGGAAAATACATCATGGCCACCAGCTGAGTTTCCGCACCTTTAATCATTGTCAACTGCCCGTCATGCTGACAACATAATTCGGATCCATGGATTAGTGAAGCAGAGAAAACCGGTAGAACTGGTTATAATTACCATATGCACTACGTCAAAGGACAACGCAGAAAAATTTTATGAATTTGGTTAATAATCCACATTACTCCGCCTTTCTTTCTGTCATCATATGTGGGCAAGGGTCCAACCATCATTCGGCATCAAAGGATGAAATTTGGAGAAGTTCACAAGAATGCCGCAATTCCAAACATGCTCGACTGATGAGGCAACGTTTCAGTGACATGTGACGCTGAGGTACTTTCTGTGCGATCTGTCCATGGTGGAACAACCCTCAGGTGGATTTCAAAGGCATACTCGATAATGTTTCGACTGACAGGGATCAGTCTTCAGCAAATTCAAAAATGACAAAAACGTTTGAACAATCTGACTGCAGTGCTACATGATGTGCAGATTTAACTATTGGCGAAGTTGTCTGCAGACAAATACACAAAGAGATTGTGACTTGCACTGTGAATGCACGCCTCCCGTGACTTAAATGACCATAATCATCATTTTGGCTGAGAAAGGAACAACATTTTTAATAAAAATCGCCCGCACCTTGTCTCCCTCAAGTCTGTGTTGTACGGCATGGGACAGTTGTTTTAACAAAGGAAAAGGAGCAACGTTGTCTTCAGCGCAAAACGATGGTTAAATGGCAGGACCACGCAAGGGTCAGGAGTGTTTCCGTTTTTTCCAGGCACATGTGGATCCAGTGAAATTAAGATCAAGGAACCACGTTGTCCATATCAGACAAAGTAATTGACCATCAATTATTTGCAACCCTCCGCATGCACGCAAATGATTTCATTTATGCACTGTTTCAAGTGTCTATCATTAGACGCAATATTTCAGCTATCATTATCACAATTGATCACAAACAAGTAGAATAATTATCAGTCTTCAGTGGCACTTGAGTGATTGCGTGATTTTAATGTTAATTCTTATCGGTTTCTTAACAGCAGATAACAATAATAGGATAATCTTATGGCTATCGTCACGGTGGATAGTCACCCGTCAAGTGGCTCAAACGAGTTGCAGCTCTAGAAGGGGACCGCATCCTACAGTATAGCCGTACCTATCAACTCTTCTGGTACGGCCTTGCAGCATCACCATTCTATCCCTATTTTTTGCTAGCTAATCGTTATCTAACTCTTGCCTTTGAGCCACAGCAAACTGAGGAGATTTTCATGACGGTCGAAAGTAGATGGCATGATATTCAAATTCGCAACCTTCTATCACTGAGACGTCGTCCTTAACTCTCTGCAACTCAGCATTAGCAACTGCATCAAGACAAACAGTGGTCAGTTAACGAGGCAAAAATTGCTTGAGTCAACAGGTTGAGCACTTCATGCCTTCTGAAGTATTTCCGTCTAGTAGATGGACATTCTGACGCAAGTTCTGATGGCAGGATTAAGTGAGGCTAACGTTCGCAATCATACATGCAATAAAACAAAATGAAAATCTTTCTCGTTGTACCGTCAATCCTCTAAACGAAGGATGACCACTCTTCGAAGAGACACAGAGGAGAACTGATTGACACGGAATGGATGACAACGAAGAACTGAAGGAAAATGACATGCTTCTGGTCGCTCACATCACGACGACACGGAAATCCAGCACCCTTATTTTCTTCGAACCTGCACAATCGCGTAATCATCAATCTAAACGCAGGACGAGATTTGTCCTTGCCATTGTTAGATGATATCCTCACATTCTTGTCTGATTTAACATTGAGGCGAGTATCAGCTGCTTCGTTCTCTGCTGAGAAAGTAAACGGTAACGTGAAAGAGGCTTACCATGTCTTCTTTGGAAATAATACAAATCATGGACTGAATTTGATCACCCGATCTACATCCCTGCAGATGATCCATAGCGCAGGCGTTTTCCATTCCTAGGCATGCGCATGCCTCTTGCGTTTCGCAGAGGTTCATAACCTGAAGTAATGTGCTAATGTACGTTTCTACTATGCCAACATTATTATGGGTTTTAAATTTCCTCGGCGTTGTCTAAACAACCTACATAGGGGGACAACGGTGAGGTGGTCCCAGCGTGGACTTAATCATTTTGCTAAATTCAAACTTTTTTCCTTCAGAAAGGAACTCACTCCACGTAGTTTTGGTGCAACTAGTAGAGTTTAGGGTACTAAGTTTCTGACCTGCAAACAATACAGCGGCATGCTATTCTTGTATGTCCATACCAGATCTGTGACACTTTCGACAATGCTGCCTGAAGGCTGTGTCATGCGACTGCAGTTTGCATTGACTTAGCTAATTACTAACTTTAAACCAACAGAAGACGTAAGCCGTAAATTTAAAAACGATAAATACATGCCTCCGCCCTGATATCTCACAGTTATCATTTAAACTCTAGACGAGTTAATTCACAACTTGATGTAGAGTCTATAAGGGGAATACATTTGCATATGCTAAAACGCTAGGGATTGAATCGATCCAGGGCTGAGGACACCAAACTGATCACATACCAACGTTCTTTTAATGAACGGCAGAGGCGCATGACTTTATATGGAAGTATTTGTGACGTCATCTGATTGGAAGGAGAAAATCAAACAAACCGATTGATAACTTGCAATTCATTGCAGTCATCCAATTCCAAGCACCTCTCATCGTATATTTGCCCCACGTCACATCGTTGAGAAATCATTGGAGTTCGCCAATCCGGTGGACATGCGCTTAGTGGACCTAGAGAAAGCCTATAACCGGACCCACGCAACAGTCTGTGAGCATGCCTGCAAACCGATTGAAATGGATGGCCAGTTGTTACGGTCCGTCCAAGCACTCTCTTCTGGTGGGAGGTGCTGAATTAGAGTAAATGGCGTCAAGTCAAAACCATTCAACGTTCGCACTGGTCTCCGCCAAGGCTGCATCCTGTCCCCTATCCTGTTTGTGTTGTACATGGATAGAATAGTCAGGAGCAGCCAAGGCGACGAGGGTATCGGTATTGGAGACGTGAAGACGAGAAGGTTGTTATTTGCAGACGACCTTGCTTTATTGGGATCTTCTGAAACTGATCTCCTGTGGTCCCTAGAAAGACTCGCAACTGAGTGCGACGTGGCCGGTACGAGTTTTAAACGTAACTAAAACGAAAAGCCTAGTGCTTTCTCGTTCTCCTGCCCGTTGCTCTCTTCAGATTAACGGAGAGGCAG